TATTATTATTTATGTAAATATAATATAAATAATAAATATTATAAATAATATATTAAATTATTTACAGTATTTTATATATATAAAAAAAATGTGCTTTTTCATGTTTTAAAAAAAAAAATTATTTTTTATTTCTATATTTCTATTTGAATTTAAATATAACATATTTGAAACAAAGTATCTTTTTTTTAAGTTCTTATAACTTTCTTTAATCCTTATAGTTTTAAAAGATCAAAAATATAAAAAAAATTAATATATATTAATATTTCCATTAAGAATGATTAATATTTAATGATTTTGATTCAGATCTCGGACAAATGCTTCAGAGCGATCTCCATATTATTTGCAACACAGCAAATCAAGTGGAAACGTACATCGATATCTTTATGCTCAACAGCAACAACAAATACAACATACTCTTCAGCAACATCACCAGACATCACGTCACTCTCAGAGTAGTCATCATTCAACGGGCTCTGCTTTACGACAGTCACATCCACTCGATACCTCGGCATCAAGTGGAAATATATTACATGTAATCATAGATTTTTTTTACAAAATAATATTAATTGTTTATTGATAGAACTTGGAAAATAACTTTTTTAAAAAAAGAAAATACTATAATAATAAGAAAAATAATAAAAAGATAGATGAAAAAATCCCAAAAAATAAATAATATAAAAATTGAAATATTATGAGAAATGTAGAATATAAAATATAAAATATTAAATATATTTTTTAGTATTATCTTCTTATAAAAAAATAATTTTTATATAGATTTAATTTATTGTTATATTTATATAATGACATAAAATATTTAATTGCCTTTAAGATTGTAAAAAACCTTGAAACATAAACATGCGTAGGATGAACGTGAAAGTATGCTAAACACATGTTATGAAACAGGGTTCAGGTAGAGTCCACTTCAATGTAGATCAAAATGATGTCAAACTGAACACAGCTAAACCTGGCAGACTTATAAAATCATTATCCTTTGTCTCTACTTATGGATTGAAACGATCCAAAAGTTTGAATGCAGCTGATGTATTGGCTGCAAAGGCGGTAAATATTTCAGACGCATCTGAACTCGGGAAATTTCCAACAGTGATTCAAGATACACTTCTAAAAGCTATTGAAGGTAATTATAAAAAATTAAAAGATATAATTTTAAATTTAATATTTATTCTTATTCTTATTATAATATTTATATTTCTTAATTGAAATTAAAGAATTTTTAATTATTTTTTTTAAATTTAGATCCGAATTTATTGAATGCTCGAGCTTTAATGGAACTTGTACGACATATTTTGGAGAGAGTTGTCGAGAACCGGAAGTATGCTGAACCTGCAGCGAAAATTTGTATCACTATTATTGAGGTTGTTATATTTACACTATTATAAAATATTATACTATTAATTAAGACAAATTTCAAATTTATGATTATCATATTATTTTTTTAATGTAGAAAGAAAGTAAAGAAACTTTCTTGGAATCCTTATTAAATACATGTCAACAGTGGTATCAAGATCGAGTTAAAATACTTTATGATGGATCCAGTTATCATCGTTATTCCGCTTTCATGACATTCTTGAACGAGATGTATTGTCAGGTAGAATAAATTTTTTTTATCTTGTAAATTAACTATTAATAGATTTTTGACTCACGAAAATCCATAATATAATTTAAATGATTTTTATCCATCATAATTTTTAAATTATTTTATTTAAAATTATTTGAAATTATTATATTTCATAATATTAGTTGCATCAAATCAATAAACTTTTTGCTATTTATGAGTCAAAATGATTGATTATGCTCACATATCTATCCTCATCCATATGGATGATTTTGGTTATAGCTAAAACGAAGGCAGCTTCAATTAAAGACACAACAGGAGGGTGTTCCTCCCGGACGTGTTCTTCTCACATTGCTTTGGAAATGTTGTCAAGATTGTTTGCAACCTCCAGTTGTAAATTCTTTAGCTGAAGTAAGTTTAATACATAAGTATTACATACATAATTAAAATAATACAAAATATTCTCATTATTTAATATCTTGGTATGATAAAAAAAATAATTGTTTTTTTCATGTGTTAAAGACTGACTGCTTGTTTTTCATCTTAACATGTATCGGCAAAGATTTGGATGCTGAATTACCAGTCCAATTACAGCAATTACTTGGAAGTTTAAGAGATGCTTTTCTCGCGGAAGATACGATATTACCGTCAGTCAGAAAAACCCTTTTACAACTGATCGAACTTCATGCTGCACATTGGCAACTTCCAGCACCAGCAGTTGTTTATTATTATCCTGGATCAACTTCGAAATGATGTTTCTATCTTTTCAATTTCTCCGTCCGTTCATTGATTTTCTGTAATGATACGTTGACAATTTTTTAACCATTTTAAATTAATTAAGAGCTATATTTTAATACTTCACGCAATTATAAAGTGGAGTATTAAACGTGTAATAAACGGTTCTAAAAAGTAATAGGCTAAGCCGTTTATGATACGTTTTTGTGAAATTTTTTTTTTAATTAATGCCTCATAATGTAGTCATAATGTAGTATTAACGATTGATGCGTCAATCGACAAAATACGAATAACCATGATCTCGTTGTTACTACAAAAAATGACTGTGCCTTGTGCAATTCTGCAAGAAGTGATTTACGATGAACTTCGTTGCGAGAAATGTCAATCTATGTTTGATTTTTTACAATTGATTATTTCATTCGTATAAATAAACTTGGACGTCTATCCATTGACATGATGATAGAACTCGTTCGTATTTTCTATGATTTCAAATTAAAAATATTTCATTAGAAAGTCAATGAATTAAATCAGAAACCAATTAAAATTGGTATATTATTTGTCCGAATTATCGTGTTAATTACCGCGAAGTTTGAATTTTAAAGGACAAATAAATTCATAAAAACCTTGAGAATTAAATGTGTATATATGTAATGAACGAATGATTTAACAGAATAGATATTTGAAAAAAGAAAAATATGTCATCATCAGAGAATCAAAAAAACATGGATAATCACGAATTACGATAGAGATATTTTACTTCGAATTTTCCTCGGCTTTTTCCGTAAATACGATACTAGTATACGAAGCATCTTAAAAAAGATATAAGATAAAAAATAAAAACGAATCGAATGAGTGATATTGCCGTCGAACTCGTCGAACGATTATATTATAAAAACGACCCTTATGTGGAACGATTTGAATGTTTGCAATAATCTATATGGTTTTTTTCTTAAAAGTGTGGAATAAAGTGATGGGTAAAAAACTGATGTTAAACAATCTTCCGGTGTGTTCTGGATGCATTAAAATCTGTAGTTGAACATTTTTTTTTTACATGTATGCAAACTATTCGAAAAAAATAGTGAATATGAATGTGATTTACAGATTAAAATACAGGTACAAAAATTTTTTCGTTCTAAGGCGTTTGCTTCTTATTAATTATTTTTTATCCTTTGTATTAATATTGATTTTAATTTCAGATATAATTTCCTAGACAAATAATATATCAAAGACATACATTTTTTTCTGTGATTGTTTATAAATTAAAGACTGTTGGTAAATTGGCTATATATTTATCATAGAAATGAAGAGCTTTTTGGATGAGAGCAGTTAAGCAGAAAAGAACTTAACGTGACATATATTCTCAATAAGGAATATGTCTGATCTGCTTTTCGAAATGCAATCTCCTTTGCTGATTTGTGCCAAGGGCGATAAAAATCGTCTGGTAGCTGGAGTGGAGATTTCTTTGCGAGTTAATTCATTATTCATATTTTTTTTTATATATGTTATTTTAAATATTTATAAATATTATTTTTATTAAAATTTTTGAAGATTTTATATATTTTAAAATCTATATACATTATTCAAAAATAAATATTATAAAAGTTATAAAATCTTATGACAAGTATAATGTTGACATATATAATTTTTCTGTTTTTTTTTAGCTAATTATATATGTGCTATAAAACAAGAAAAAAATACATATTTGTGTAATTGTTTTCAAATAAAGAAAGAACACATAATATTATCAAGATAATACAATTATTTTTTCATTGGTGTGAAACAATTGTTTGGTGTAAAGAATAGGAAACAAATATATATTTAATTTAATGTGTGAGTTTGCATTTAAAAATATTATTAACGAAAGAATTTCATTTCAAAAATCCTTTAGAAATTTAAAATTTACAGGAAAATTCATAGAGATATAAAATTAATATTTTATGATGTGCAAAAATCTTTGGTCAGGTATTTTTAAAACTTATTTCTAACAGTATAATCAATAAAATAAATAATAATAAATACATGTTCGATAAATCATCTTTCTTTCAGCATACATCTGCATTCATAATGCTATTGAAATATTTGTTTTATGTTTTTGAAGAAAAAAATTAAGAATTTATTTGACTAGAAATTACTGAAGTTATTAAAAAGATTAAGAATAAATTTTTTTTGTATTTTATTCAGAAAAATTAAATAAGAAAACATGAATTATTATATTACAAAACATGGATTATTTGAATTATTCTTACTTTATCTTGTTAATTAAATATTAATATATAATATACTATATAAGATTTTTAAAAAGTAAATAAAAAGTAAAGTTTTAAAAATATTTTATAGTTACAGATATTTCAACCTATTTAATATAACTAATATTTATTTTATATCATTTCTTCAATTTATGGAATTATTTAAAATGAAAAAAATGAAAAATTTTTAATTTTTTAAATTGAAACATTAAATATACATCTAATTACATTAATCACATTTAGAAAGTATAAAACTTTGAGATGCAAATTGATATTCTATTCCCTTAATCAAAATTATACGGTATTAAATTCTAATTATTTTTACTTAATATTCATTTTAAAAGAAACAATTAATTTTAAACTTTACAGACTTAAATAGGATTTTGAGATTCTCAAGTCTCGAAAGATATCTCAAATTACACGTTAGTATCTTTAAAATTATATAATTATATTAATGTTCTAATTAACTTTAGATCATATGTTTTATAATCATCAAGCAATATACTCATGTCAAGGTCACGTCTATTGTCCTCCATATTTGTCCCAGGTTTTACGTCCGGAATCAAAGAAGCAGAACACGAAATGCTTGTATTCCAACTTGTAAATTTCGTCGCTGCCAGGATGTTCTCTACTGGTATCCGTAGGAGAGACGTCCCGTCATCGACCTTGAAAACTCAGGTCAGAGAACCGAGAGAGGTTTCGCCTTGGGTAATCGGTGCCGCGTATTCGAAAACTAGGCCTGTGCCTGCGGTGGCGGTGACGTCGTCATCAGTACACATCGCGATGTATACGGTGAACGAATCATGGGAAGAGGTGAAGAGACGACAAGGACGAGAAGACGAGAGTGGAGGAGTGTAGAGGAGAATAAGACAGAGCATTTGAAAGAAGAAGAAAGATAGAAAGAGATGAAGAGAAAGAGAAAGAAATACATGCATAATGTTAAATGGAGGAAAAGAGAAAGAAAGATAGCGCGTTCGCGGTAACGAAACAAATAGGCCGGCGACTTTCACCACGTATCCAAGAACGGCTATACAACACACAGGCAATAGGCCGAGCGCTCTTGGCCCAAACCACTTGAGTATGAGGTGTACCCTCGCTCACCGTTCTCGATGTCCTCGCAGTGGGGGGAATCCTGCTCGAAGCCACCAGACACGAGGCATACCCTGAGAGCCAGAGCGAACGGACCTCGATTCTTTTTCTTTCATCCGTATATTGCACGTGTTGTCTCTGTTCTCCGTGATAGCCCGGTTACAGACACACGGTGGCATATCCACGACAGTATATCCACGACACGGAAAGTGTCATTTCGTCGCTCTCCTTTTTTTTTTCTTCTTTCAATCTCAATTCTTCTTCGTCAACAATTTTTTAAACATTTGTCTCTGTCGCGGTGCGTGTCTCATCTTATATGTCTTCCTCATAACTGTTCCTCTTCTACACGTTAGTATACTTACAGATCGTTCTACCAAAGCAGAAACATATTTCACCGGGATATGCATTCCTTCGATAGAATTTGTATCTAAAGCATCGGATAATAGTGATTGTTTAGTGTGCCAGAAGCGGGACCAAGTGGTGATAAACGAAAACATTAAAAGAAATGCACGGGTGCGTGTTGCTGATTTGCTGACAATGACACGACGACGACCACCGAGATCAGATTCAAACTGGATCTTTCTGTTAATCTGGCTACTTTGGATCGTCCTGCCTATTAAGACCGGTACAATGCTCATGACTTTTACTTTATGATGTTGAATCGCTTAGTGTACGCATGCGATTCCGTTATGCGCTCAAACAAGTTCAAGACGAAAGTGTACTAAAAGTGAAAATATAGAGCAACGATGTTTCATCAGAGAGGTTTTTTTTTAGTATCTTTTAATTGGAACAATGATAGATCATTTTTTAGTATTGACACATTAGAAGTAGATCTATTTGAAATGAAATAGAATTTTTTTGTATTTTTTATAGAAATAATTGATTTAGTTTTGAAACAAATATTCAGATTGTTTTTTATCTTGATTGTCTAAAATCTATAATATAAAAATCTAAATGAAAACAGAATTTGGGAACAGAATTTTAAATTAAATATTAATTCTTAATCTTCTTTGTTAGTACATATACTAATTTTGAAAATGAATGATATATTAGATTATTAGTTTATTAGTATTAGTTAAAACATATGTTGATTTTGATTGTGTCATATGAATAAGTATTTAATTTTTACAGTTAAAAGAATTTTTATTTAATTTTTGTCACAAGCTCTAAATAAAGCAAATTAAAAGTAGTTCTAATAACAATGTTAATAATATATTAATTCTCAATCTTTGCACATTCATTTGTAATTAATAAATACGAAACTTCGTCGATCGTAAATTAAACGTTGATAGCCGGATCTGTTTAAATATCTGAGCCGCGATCTTCTCTGTAGCTAAAGAATAATTTATGTGCATAGTCTGTCTAAATGTCTGTTTAAACAATTATCATGTTACATGTCTAAACTAACGAATCAATCTTTTCAGAAATAGTGATAAAAATAAACGAATAATTTCGTCTTTTCTTTTTTAAAAATTTCATGATTCTAAGAAATAATTCATATTCCAATGGCTATCCATTATATATTAGAAATTTTATATTACGATGATTCATTATATATTAGAAATTTTTTTGATTTATTTAATTAAAGATTTTCACTAATTAAATAACTGCCATAAGAATTGAATTGAATTCTTTATGATGATCGATTTTAAAAAAAGATTTTAAAAATAATTTTTAAATTTTATTGATAAAAATTTATATTTTCTTGTTGATTATGATTATAAATAATATTTTCTCATATTGCAGGAGTAGTGCACAGTTATGCAGATAAACAGAGGTACGATGGATGGTACAACAATCTGGCTCATCCGGATTGGGGATCGATTGGCAAGTAGTTCAAATAGCATTGCTTTATTATTTTGTCAACGACAAGCACACGTGTGTTGATTTGTTTAGTTTTATTGCTTTGTTTAAATTTGTTTTACTTAAAATAATGCATCTGTAATGCATTGAAAATTATTACAATTTAAGATATAGTTAAACACAGTAATTATCAATGATAACGAATTATCACGAATATTTTTTGTTGACATTGTGATGCGACTCGAATTGCAATAGCATGTAAAACCAATAGTGCATAGAGTGAAACGTGAAAAAAGTTACTATTTTGTTTCAATATAGGTCGGTATAAAATAGCCAATAAAAATTTTAACAGAGAAAGAATGTGATTAGTTCGACAAAAATGTTATGGTTCTTTAAACATGAAAATCATTTTGTCCCTCGATCATATCTACTATCAATGTATCTATTTAACATGAATTATAATAGTAATCACATTTTAAAAAATATTTCTAAAACATAAAATAAATATAAATAATAATAAATAAAATAAATAAATAATTTAAATAGAAATATTTAAATAGAAATATATAAATGAATAAAAAAAAAATAAATAAAATTTTGTTATGATATTATCTAATAATTATATATTTTATGTGAAAAAAAATAATT